GTCTGCGATCTGAGGCCTCCGGCCCAAAGCAAATAGATAAAGGCCTTAAAAATTAAAATGGGAAGGGACTTGAAAAGAATAAATTGGCCCCATTGCTGGCAGGCACGCAGAAAGGGAAAACGGCACGGCTCTTCCGGGGGGGGGGGTAGTTGCCTATCTACCTTTGAACTGGGTTCCCGTCGGTAATTCCATCCGGTCTGCTCCTGTAACTCAAGATCCCGTCTCCGACAAAGGCGAGGGCCAGATGCGAGAAAACAAAGTGTTTGGGGAGTCCAGGTGCACCCGTGAGGTGCCAAGGAAGAACGGGTCTGATCTTCGGAAGGCAAGCCCTCTTCCTTTCAGCTCCAGAGACAGCGCGGGGTATTTGGGGAGGGACGCGGGTTCGAATCTCCCTTCGACCATGTGATTCCGAGAGCACCCCGGGTCCAATTACTCTGCCTTGGCCCAACCTACCTTTTGTATACATACAATACATAGTGGTGAAGTGGGCGGACTTTAATCTGGGAGAACCGGGTTTGATTCCCCACTCCTCCACCTGCAGCTGCTGGATGACCTTGGGTCAGTCACAGAACTGTTCTCTCAAGGACAGTTCTGGAAAGAGCTCTCTCAGCCCCGCCTACTTCACTGGGTGTCTGTTGTGGGGAGGGGAAGGGAAAGGAGTTTGTAAGCCGCTCTGAGAATTCGAGTGAAGGATGGGGGTATAAATCCAAACTCTTCTTCTTCTTCTTCTTCTTCTTCTTCTTCTACCTTACAAGGTGGTTGTGAAGAAAGAGCTCATTGGAGAAACGGCACAATAAAAAAAAGGATTAGACCAGGGCTCGAGAAATCCCAGCGCCAGGGCACCAAGAGGTTTCATTGGTGTTATGTATTAGTTTTGGAACATTCCAGGACTATCTCCCAGAGACGGGCTGAGCTTAGAGCTCTAGAACAATAGCCCACCAGGACTCGAGGTGGCCAATGAGAAACTAATGTTATGTAGATAACCTCTTCCAGATCTCCACATTCCAAATCCTATTCCATCGTTTTTTAGAGGACTCAGTGTTCCCTCTAAGCTGCGTCAGTGTGAGCCAGCCCACAGTTTTTTAGCCTCTGGCTTACCCCTTTCTGTCTTAGTGCAAGAAGGGCAGCTCCAGAGAGCAAACGAATGTATGCAGCAGCCAAATCGCTCGCTCACAACTTTAATGCCGGCAGCTCACAAAGTAGCATTTTTGGTCACAAGATCCCGCAGCTTATATGGAGCATTTCCTGTTGACCACACTTCCCCCCTCTGTATAATCCAGCTGGAGTCCCTGGGGAAAAACCCCAGACTTCAAGGAAGACACAGAGAGTACTCCGTCTTTCTGTGTTATACCTCTGAGGATGCCAGTCACAGTTACTGGCGAAACGTCAGGTCCTACAATGCCAAGACCACAGCCATACAGCCCAGTAAACCTACAACAACTAAAGGAAGTATGTAAATAAAACTGTGAAGAGTAGAAAAGCAGATTTTGTTGTAGCGATAATTAGGAAGTACGACTGGCCATTAAAATATAAAACCTGGAAGGCTTGAAAACCAAACTGGTTCCTAAATTCCGGGAGTGGCTCATAAAGCCAAAGAAAACTGGTCAAGAGGATGAGGAGGAGGAGGAGGATTGGATTGGATTTATACCCCACCCTTCACTACCCCAAGGAGTCTCAGAGCGGTTTACAATCCCCTTTCCATTCCCCTCCCCACAACAGACACCCTGTGAGGTAGGTGGGGCAGAGGGAGTTTTTCAAGGACTGCTCTTGAGAGAACAGCTCTGAGAGAACTTGTGACTGACCCAAGGTCACACCAGCAGCTGCATGTGAAGGAGTGGGGAATCAAACCCGGTTCCCCCAGATTAGAGTCCGTGCTCCTAACCACTACACCAGACTGGCTCTCGAGGCCTGAACTTGTCAGAGATATGGGGATATGATTACCAATCTGGACCTTCTGGGAAAGGGCAGGGATATATCAACAACAACAGGGCATAGAGACCAAGGCCTTCATAAGAACCTCAGAAGAGCCCTGCTGGATCAGACCAGTGAGGGTCCATCCAGTCCAGCCTCCTGTCTCACACAGGGGCCAGCCAGTTCCTCTGGGGGTCCCGCAACAGGGCATGGAGGCCGAGGCCTTCCCCTGATAAGGACCTCAGAAGAGCCCCGCTGGATCAGACCAGGGAGGGTCCATCCAGTCCAGCCTCCTGTCTCACACAGGGGCCAAGCAGTTCCTCTGGAGGGCCAACAGCAGGGCAGAGAGGCCGAGGCCTTCCCCTGATATTGCCTCCTGGCTCTGGGATCCAGCAGATTAGTGCCTCTGAATGTGGAGGTTCCATGACTAGTAGCCACTGATAAGACTTCTCCACAAATCTATCTAACCCCCCTTTCAAACCGTTTATTCCTGTGGCCATCACTATACCCTCCGGCAGCGAATTCCACATTTTAATCACCCCCTGAGTAATTCCTTTTAGTCTTCCCCTTCCCATGGCTACGTCGGGGAGGTCAAGCAGCCCAACCACAAGTGGGAGATACCCGAGAACTGCCCCTCCCCGAACGGACCCCGATTCCCCAGAACCCCTTTTCCAATTAAAGTCACTTCTTTAAAGGGCCCTGTTCCGCCCAAACACCTAAAAAACAAAACCCGCAAAACATAAATCAACCTGCTGCCATCCCAAGCAACTGACAGCCACAGTCTACATGCCGGAATAATGATATGGTTTCGACCAACCTGTGACCCGTTACGAAGAATCTACAGGGAAAAAATGTAGCCATGGCTGAGTGGTCTCCTGCAATGAGCCATTCTGATACCTGACCTGCTCCTCCAGACAACATTAACCCAATTCCCCCCATAATTTATGCCACCAGGAGAACCGGGGAAAGAATCGGAGGCGACACCTTATTTTCCCCCACCGCTTCCTCCTCGCAGATCGGTTTTGCCCCACAACTCTAGGCAAAATTAGCCGTTTGCCATAAATCACCCGCCGAGGGAGTGAACCCAAAGTTGCTCAGGGTACGGGGGGGTGTGGAACCGGTAAACCAAAGTCAAACAACAAACACAATCTGGTCTCAAATGCCGCCGGAGATTTCTTTCAGCCACAGAGACCAGCGTTCCCAAAGAGACGGCGTGCCGCTGAGCGGGCGGAAGCCAATCTTCTGCACTCGCTAGGAAGGTAAACATGGACCTGGGTCGGCCAAATCGGGCTGACTGCAACTACCAGATGGGTTACAAGCCTTCACTAGAATCTGCCTGCAAAATCCCGGGCTGCAAACAAATTGCGTCACTCAGAGCTTGTTCAAATTTTCGCTTGTTGTTACCCTCGAGGGCAGGGGTGTTTGTTATGCGGGCCGGATCGGATGTAAATGAGACCTTGTTGGGCCAGGCCAGGTGTGTCATAAAATGTAATGCCAGGTAGCGGAGATATAAACTTTATAAAGGACACAAACACAAAGGGTTTTTTTTACTTAAAATAAAAACGTGCTTAAAACATTAGCACTCTTGCAATATTTTGTTTATTTAACAGTGTCTGATAACGGACACCTCTTGCTCTGAATTACTGGAGCAAAATGTCTGAGCTGTTGCAGTCTTGAGTGTGCTGCTCAGGTGTGTATCTGTAACCTGCAAACCCACGATGACGCAGCAGCAGCAGAACTGGAAGAAGAAGCAGAAGACAGCCAGTTCCACTGTGAGCCTGACAGAAACCCTCTGGGGGCCTGAACTGGCCCCCGGGCCACATGTTTGACACCCCTGCTCAAGGGTCCTAGAAACGTATCGGGGAGATCCTCAACAAGGGTGAGCCAGAATGACAAAACAAACATTCTGGCTTCTCAAAACAGCTCTCGGAAGGCCGGACATTTGCGATTCGCTTGTTCTAGTGCAAAGCAGGGCCCCGCGAGAATCTCTGGGCGACAAGAGTTAAAAGATCTGCGTGGAGCGCAAATCGCCACGACATTAACCTGCGTTCACAACGGCGGAGCTCTCCTCCCAACCCCCCAGTCAGAAAGTCCTGAACTCTTATACGGTACGCTGAAGTTTCAACAACAGATGGAATCAAGAGGCACCTACTCAGGAGGGAACCCCACTGATTGCAGCAGGACTTGCTTCCAAATAGACGTGGGGTCTGGCCAAATGTCTTATTTGCTCAGGAGCAAACAATTGGATGTGGATTATGAGAAGGGTTTCCCACATCTTCCAAGGACCAGCCTTTCACACAGGATGATCTGGTTAACACCTGGGGCAGGGCCTTCTCAAAAGTGGCCCCTCTCTCATCAGGACGCAGCCTGCCAATCCCTCGTTAAGAACTAAGAACGTAAGAAGAGCCCTGCTGGATCAGGCCAATAGTCCACCTAGTCCAGCATCCTGTCTCACACAGTGGCCAACCAGTTCCTCTGGAGGGCCAACAACAGGGCAGAGAGGCCGTGGCCTTCCCCTGATGAGAACAAAGGAGGAGCCCTGCTGGATCAGACCAGTGCGGGTCCATTTGGTCCAGCCTCCCATCTCACACGGGGGCCAACCAGTTCCTCTGGAGGGCCAGTAACGGGGCAGAAAGGCCGAGGCCTTCCCATGAGAAGAACCTCAGAAGAGCCCTGCTGGATCAGACCAGTGAGGGTCCATCTAGTCCAGCCTCCTGTCCCATACATTGGCCAACCAGTTCCCCTGGAGGGCCAACAACAGGGCAGAGAGGCCGAGGCCTTCCCCTGATGTTGCCTCCTGGCTCTGGGATTCCGAGGATTAGTGTCTCTGAATGTGGAGGTTCACTGCTTAGTGGCTGGGCACTCTCGTAATAGTATTTCCTCCACCTGGAGAATTTCCCCTTGGAACATTTCCCGGGGGAGATGTGTTTCCATTCCCCCCCCCCCCCCCACTAGAGTCCATTCTTCTTTTTGTCTAGATCCCTCATCGTTTTCGCACCGGCATTTTCAGTTTCGCCCACGGAGCTCCGGCACCCCAAGACGTGGTGGCGCAAAGTTAAGTCACCGACGGATGCGATAGACGAACTCACCAGATCTGTCCGACGTTGATCAGAGAGAGGTAGAGCGCCCACAGGGCGGTCATGAGGACCATGTTGGCACAGCCGGTGACCAAGACAAACGCCGCGATGGCCAAGCCGGCCAGCGCGAACCCATCCAGGATGCTGTCCATGCTGGACCAATCCAGGAACCAGATCAGAGTCGGGGCGTGGCTCAAAGCCTCCCAGTGGACCTTCCCTTTGAAGTAGCGCTTGATGTTCTCCAAGAACAGCTTGGCGGGCAGAAGGCCTTTCTCACCGATCAGTGGTTTGTTTTGGTGGTAAGCCACCAAAAAAGCGACAACTGCAAGGGGGGAAAGGACAAAGGAAAACATGAATGAGTCGGGACAAGTCAATTTAGAAGAGGAGGAGGAGGAGGAGATTGGATTCATACCCCACCTTTCACAACCCAAAGGAGTCTCACAGCCGCTTACAATCGCCTTTCCCTTCCCCTCCCCACAACAGACACCCTGTGAGGTAGGTGGCGCTGAGAGAGTTCTTTCAAGGACTGCTCTTGAGAAAACAGCTCTGAGAGAACTTGTGACTGACCCAAAGTCACACCAGCAGCTGCATGTGGAGGAGCGGGGGATCAAACCTGGTTCTCCAAGATTAGAGTCCACACACTTCACCACTACACCAAACTGGAGGAGGAGGAGGGGACTGGATTTATACCCCGCCCTTCACTACCCGAGGGAGTCTCAGACCGGCTTACAATCTCTTTTCCCCCTCCCCACAACAGACACCCTGGGAGGTACGTGGCGCTGAGAGGGCTCTTTCGAGGACTGCTCTTGAGAGAACAGCTCCAAGAGAACTTGTGACTGACCCAAGGTCACACCAGCAGCTGCACGTGGAGGAGTGGGGAATCAAACCCGGTTCTCCCAGATTAGAGTCCGTGCTCCTAACCACTACACCAAACTGAATGTGTCAAACGAAGCCACTAAAAAAGCAAAGGAGTAGAGGCCACGCCACCCTCCCCTGCCAGAGCTATCCCCGTTTCAGTTTGGGTACTGGAATACAGTTGTTTTGTTTTCCCTTTCCCTCCGTGCAAACCAAGCATGCCCTTTGTTATTTCTGTGCCGTCTTCCGTTTCTTTGCATCAACAGTGTCCCCATGACGCAACCTCAAAAAGCCATTTTTTGTGTGTCAAATGGTGCTCGAAGGCCGTAGAACTGGCACCTGAGTCACAAACGGATCAGGAGTTGCCCACGAGGAAAATGGCCAAAGCGCAAAGCCTCGCAAGAGCACGTGATCGAGAAAAGAAAATCAAAAAGGCCACCTTCATACATCCATACGCAGAACCCTGACAAAGGGGAGATGGCGGAGAAAGTGACCCCGGACTTGCCTCTTGCTATTCAGCTTCTTGCTAGGACGCGACGCAACCATGTCATGGGCGAACAAGCACGCAGCTATTTACTAGCTCAAAGTTAACACGTTGAATTCACTGCCACAGGAACTGCTGGCGGTTACAAGCATAGACAGCTTCAAGAGGGAACTGGATGAATAAACAGAGCAGAGGTCCATCGGTGGCTCTTAGCCACAAGGTAGAGATGGCACACTCTGTCTGGGGCAGTGATGTTCTGTCTTCTTGCTGTTGGGGGGCCACAGTGGAAGGGCTTGTGGAGTTCTGGCCCCGATAGTGGACCTCCTGATGCCACCTGGGTTTGGGCCACTGTGTGACACAAGACTGTTGGACTGGATGGGCCACTGGCCTGATCCACCATTGGCTTCTCTCATGTTCTTATGTCTGGGGCAGTGGCGCTCTGTATTCTGGGTGCTTGGGGGGGCAACAGTGGGAGGGCTTCTGGAGTTCTGGCCCCGCTGGTGGACCTCCTGATGGCCCCTGGGTTTTGGCCCCTGTGAGACACAGAGTGTCGGTCTGGATGGGCCACTGGCCTGATCCAACATGGCTTCTCTTAGGTTCCCCCTGTCTCCCCCCCCCCAGCCTTTATAACACACCCAAATCTTCACAAGCCCCATTTAATATCCCCAACTGGGACAAAAATAAGAAAGTCTCCTCTGTCGAGGCGGCGGGAAGGAGAGAACCGTCCACGATCTCATTTACTTTGATTAAAATTGCAATTTGCTGGGAAGCTTTGCCTAAAGTGCTAATCAGACTTCACCTCAAAATTGCTGCCCTTCCACCTAAACCCCTCATCAGCGCCGGAGTCCAAATTAGACCTCTGGCCAGTTTGCAAAGATAAACAAGGGATGGGTGAAATAGTGGGAAAATACACACACACACACACACCTACCAACAATGCTCCCTCTAAGCTGTGGAGTCTTGTGAGCAAAAATTCTACTTTGTGGGCTACTGGCATTAAAGTTGTGAGCGAGCGATCTGGCGACGGCATAATTTAGTTTGCTCTGGAGCCATCTTTCCTGAGCGGAGTCAAAAAATGTGTGAGCCAGAGGCTCAAAAACTGTGAGCTAGCTCACGCTAACTCAGCTTAGAGGGGACACTGGAAGGGGAGCAAACATTGTATTTGCACAAAGAACACCAGGTTAAGGCTTTTGAAGCAGCCAAAGTGGCATGTTTATAAGCTGGACAGATTGTACACCGGGCCCAGCTAAAGAGAAAGTAACAGCAAGGATTTCTGTCTTTTCAAACCTGCCAGAGGCCATCTGTCCACTTCCCAAACAGCCCTGGAAGAAGCTATGGTGAAAACCAACCCCCCCCCAATAAAAGTATCATCAAATGGAGGTCTTTCAGTTTTCACTATAAATTGGACTAGAAAAACCTAGATTTTCTAGAAAAACCTAGATTTTCTGAAGCAACAGAGTAACGTTTGAGTCCAGTGGCACCTTTCAGACCAACAAAGTTTAATTTAAGTCCCACAAAGTTAAACCTAGATTCTGGTGGGTCGCCATGTTGGTCTGAAGCCACAGAGCAGAGTCCAGTGGCACCTTTCAGACTGACAAAGTTTAAGACCAACAAAGCTTAACTAGAAGTGTGCGTGCCCATGAAAGCTTATACCCAGAATGAAACTTTGCTGGTCTTAAAGGTGCCACCGGACGCAAGCTTTGTACAAGAAAACCCAGAACATCTTCTTGATCTCTCTGTACGCACGGGTAAAACGCAACCGATCCCTTCCAGTCGTTCCTTCTATCGCTGTTTCCAAAGTACCCCAGCCGCCGCTTGCTCCTTGCGAATGTTTTTATCCCACTTCTCCAAATAAACAACGGCCTCAAAAGCAGCTCCAGGAAAAAAGAAAACAATGATAAAAGGTAAAGATGCAACTTAAGAAAGAAGCACTGTGCCAAACTAAGGAGATATTGCTCACAAACAGAAACAAAAAACGGTCAACAAAACAAAGATCCGAGCAGAGCAGAGCAAAACAAACCCTCCGGGTTTCCGATGAAGCAAACCGGAAAAAAATTTTCGCTTGGCATCTTTGCTGCTGGCCTCTAGATGCCAAGCAACCACGAAGGGTAGAGTATGCCACGGACTGACACCAAGGACTCCTCCCCTCTTGGTCACCTGCTTCACCTTTGATGGAGGGGGGTTACCTGGGGAAGGGGCCTAGGAGACGCTAACGGGGGAGGTGTATTGGCCAGCGTCTGAAGCCAGCAGGATCACAATAACGACACCTCGCTTATAAATTCAGGTGGGGTCGCCGTGTTGGTCTGAAGCAGCCGGACAAAGTTTGAGTCCAGGGGCACCTTTAAGACCAACAAAGTTTTATTCTGGGGAGGAACATAAGAACATAAGAGACGCCAATGTTGGATCAGGCCAAAGGCCCATCCAGTCCAACACTCTGTATCACACAGTGGCCAAAAACACCAGGTGCCATCAGGAGGTCCACCAGTGGGGTCAGGACATTAGAAGCCCTCCCTCTGTTGGCCCCCCCAAGCACCAAGATGACAGAGCATCACTTGCCCCAGAGCCCCTATCTATACCTTGTGGCTAATAGCCACTGATGGACCTCTGCTCCATATGCCTATCTAATTCCCTTTTGAAGCCGTCCATGCTTGTAGCCGCCACCACTTCCTGTGGCAGTGAATTCCACGTGTGAATCACTCTTTGGGTGAAGAAGTACCTCCTTTTATCCGTTCTAACCCGACCGCTCAGCAATTTCATGGAGTGCCCACGAGTTCTTGTATTGTGAGTAAAGGAGAAAAGTACCTCTTTCTCTACCTGCTCTTTCCCATGCATAATCTTGTAAACCTCAATCATGTCACCCCTCAGTCGTCTTTTGCGTGCATGCACACAACTTCAGATAAAGTCTGTATCTGAAGAAGTGCGCTTGCACACGAAAGCGGATACCCTGAATAAATCTTTGTTGGCCTTAAAGGTGCCGCTGGACTCAGACGTCACTCATAAGTGAGTCCAGAGGGCCGATGCGGAGTTCACAAACAGTCTCCCCATCCATAGTCCAAAGAGGAACAAACTTCCATCTTTCATGCTCGGCAAAGACTCAAAGACGCAAAATCCAAAACGGTCCAGTGACGTTCCGCTTTTCTTTCTCCCCCCTCTCTTTAAATAACGGAGGAAGTCTTGACTCCTATCTGAAGACCAAACAACCCAGAGACATTTACCAGGAGGCACGAAACTTACAAAACCAAGCCACATTTCACACACACACAAAAAAAACATTGATAGGTGCCTGGAGCCAGCGACTGACTGCACCTTCAACCCAAAGCAGTATTTCTGGGTGGGGGGAAACGCGGCTATTTTGCACCCAAGACACCAGCCCCTAAATTTAGGTACAAACTATAGGTCTTACAAACGGAGCCATTCATGAGCCGGGCGCTTGAGGAATGAGCTATTTAAACATGCCCAGACTCGGCGTCCTCTGGCAACGCTGGAAGCCCAAACACCGCTGCGATGTCCTTGCATTAATTTTGCAAAAAAAGAAAGAAAGAAA